TTAGCATGGCCAGTCCACCCTAACCTACACATTCCTGGATACTACAGGGCAACTTAGCACGGTCAATCCACCCTAACCTGCAAATCTTTGGACCGTGGGAGGAAACTGGAGCACCCGGAGGAAGCCCATGCAGACGCGAGGGGAGAACGTGCAATCTCCACGTAGACAGTTGCCCTGAGGGCGGAATCGAAGCCAGGTCCCTGGCACTGAGAGGCAGTGGTATTAACCACTGAGCTGCTGTACCACCCAATCCTAGGATGAAATACATCAGGACCTAGTGACTTGACAATTCACAGTTCCAACAATTTACTCAGTACCTCTTCGCTGATAACTGTATTTTCTCAAAGATCCAGCCTCCCTTACAATTCCTGATTTACAGCTATTTCTGAGATGTTACTGGTGTCCCTCTAATGAAGACTGTTGCAAAATACCTGTTCAATTTGCCTGCCATCTCTTTCGAATTCCTGATCTTCATTGTCTATTGGCCGAACACGAATTGCTAACTCTCTCCTTTTCCCCACATATCTGAAGAAAGTTTTCTCATCTGTTTTTATATATTTGGTAAACTTACTCTTGTACTCTAAATTTTTGGTTTGATTTATTATTGTCACATGTACCTAGGTACAGTGAAAAGTTGTGTTTTTACTCGTGGTGCAGGCAGATCATACCAAACAAAATTCATTAGGGTAATAAAGCATAGGAAGGACTACAATGTTATGGCTGCAGAGAAGGTGCACAATGAGCAAGATCAAGAGTTAACTTTAAAATTTGAGGGGTCCTTAATTTTTCTATGATTAATCTCGTTGTAATTCGTCGCTTGTTTAAAAAGAAATTCCATGGTCTGACCTGCCACATATTTTTGAAACTTTTACGGGTCTTTTCTTTGCATTCAGTCCTATCGTTGACATTTCTAGTTAACCACAGAAAGCAGGACATTCCATTGAAATGTTCGAATGTATCTATTCATTTTTTGGAATGTCCCCTTAAGCGTTTGCCACTGCATCTCAACTAACTTATTCCTTAACCCAAATTCCTAGTTCACCTTCGCTAGTCCTGCTTTCATGCCCTCATAACTGCTTTTGTTTAAATTCAAACTAGTACTCTTAGACCCACACTTCTCTCTTAGAGTCCGAGAGATATACAGCAGGGAAACAGACCCTTCAGTCCAACTCGTCCATGCTGACCAGATATCCTAAATTTATCCAGTCCCATTTGGCCCATATCCCTCTCAACCCTTCCCATTCATAAACCCATCCAGATGCCTTTTTAAATGTTATTATTGTACCAGGCTCCACTGCTTCCTCTGGCAGCTCATTCCGTACATGCACCACCGTGTGTGAAAAAGTTGCCCCTTAGGTCTGTTTTAAATTTTGTCCCTCTCACCTTACACCTATGCCCCTATGGTTTTGAACTCCCCTAACCTGGGGAAAAGGCCTTAGCTGTCTACTCTATCCGTGACCCTCGATTTTATAAACCTCTATAAGGTTATCCCTCAGTCTCTGAGGCACCAGGGGGAAAAAAGCCCCAGCCTATTCAGCCTGAAACCCTCCAACGCCAGAAACATCCTTGTAAATCTTTTCTGCGCCTTTTCAAGTTTAACAACATCTTTCCTGCACTAGGCAGACCAGAACGGAACACAGTACTCCAAAAGCAGCCTCACCAATGTCCTGTACTGCCGCAACATGACCTCCCAACTCCTATATTCAATGCACTGACCAATGAAGGCAAGTGTACCAAATGCCTTCTTCACCGCCCTGTCTACCTGCAACTCCACCTTCGATGAACTATGAACCTGCACCCCAAAGGTCTCTTTGTTCCCCAGAACCCCATTAGCTGTGCAAGTCCTGTCCTGATTTGCCTTACCAAAATGCAACACCTCATTTATCTGAATTAAACTTCGTCTGCCACTCCTCAGCCCATCTGATCAAGGCCCCATTGTACTGACCTTCTTTACTACCCACTACAACACCAATTCCCTTAAATTAAGTAAAACACAGGCGTATTATGGCTGCTGCTCCCTAGGGTTGCGTTTCCTATGGGATAATCCCACTGGGTTAGTCAAAACTAGGTCTAGCATAGCCCATTCTCTGGTTGGTACCACAGCATGATGGTCTAAGGTATAGGATCGCTGATGGGTGACTGAAGGGTGGGATTGATTTGCTAAACCCCTACCTCGAGCCTCAGGTAGACAGCACTGATGGCTAAAAGGATATCCCCGCCAGATAAAACCTTCAGGTCTTTCCTCAGCATCTGCTCGATGGTCAATCCTGGAGACAACAGAATGATTTGTACCAACGGGATGATTTATTCCCTCCCGACAAATTGACCACTGGTGTCCACCGGTGGCTCATTGGGGAATCTCTCTTTCCTCGCATCTCGAGTGGGGAGCTTTCAGGTGCAAGCCTCACAAAGAGGCAATGAAGCACAAAATCCAGGCTGACCTTCTCAGAAGGCGCGCCACATTAAAACAGCTTGGCTGTCTCTCTGGTGGTCTTAAGGAGTTGTTTTGATCCCAAGCCAGTTGGCAAAAACGTTACACTCTTTCATAGAATCCCTACAGTGCGGTAGTAGGCCATTCGGCCCATCGAGGCCACACCACCCTTCTGAAGAGCATCCCACCCACACCCCCCACCCTGCCCCTGTAGCCCTGCACTTCACATCCCTGGACAGTACGGGGCAATTTAGCATGGCCAATCCACCTAGCCTCCACAACCCTGGACACAGTGGGCAATTTAACATGCACAGTCCACCCTAACCTGCACATCTTTGGATTGTGGGAGGAAACCAGAGCACCCGGAAGAAAGCCCACGCAGACACGGCGGGGGGGGGGGAGAATGTGCAAACTCCACACGGACAGTCGCTTCAGGGTGCAATCGAAGCCAGGTCCCTGGTGCTGTCAAGGAAGCATGCCGCCCTCTTTGTGAATTGGTTATTCACAGAATGCAGATCCGCATGCATCTGCCTCCTACTTACGAACTCACTTTAGGTGCTCTACGTTTTTCGTTAAAGGCAGCCCACCACCACCTTCTCAAGGGCAACTAGAGACAGGCAATAAATGCTGGCCCAGCCAACAATGCCCACATCCCACAAAAGAAAGAATTTTAAAAAAAACTACAAGGCCACTATTATAAGGAAAAGAGTGGGACTCTTTCCTTGGGGGCTGGGGCTAATATATATCATTCGCGCCACATTCCTAAAAAGAAAGAGATAACTGGAGGCATGGTGTTGTTTACGGGAACTTTCTGTGGGCAAATTGGCTGCACTTTTCTCTACAGTACGCCAGCATCGTGCTGCAGCCTCAATGGATTCTGTGCTCGGGACTCTGGGAGTGGGACTCAAACGTTAGCCTCCTAGCTGGAGCGCGCGCCTTGGCCCAAACAAATCACGAGGCTTCAAGCTTGACCCGGTGAGGTCCTCGACATTATTTCCCCTCGCTTCCTTCCTCTTCCCCATTCCCCCACCACGAGAGGCGGCCATTACCGCTGACGTCGAACTTGGCTCTCTGCAGTGAATCAAACACGACAGCCCTTGGCGGGAGATCCGTGAATCTCGACTCCAAGGTGGTGACGTATTCAGTGTCCTTTGGTGTCACTTTCCCAGCTTCGGGCGCCATGTTAATGCAGTCTAGGAGAATGGTACCTGCGACAGAAAGAGAGAAGCAAATTAGCCTTTCCCTTACAATGCCAAACAATTACCCCCACAGTATTTACAGCCCTCTGCTCTCGTTTCACACCAGACTCCTTTTATCCTGCTTTTTATCTCCACTCCAATCGCCATAACACATGTACCAACAGATTCAAGAACAGCTTCTTCCCCACTGAGGTCAGACTTCCGAATGGACGTCTTAAATTTAAATGTTGATCTCGCTCTGTGTACCTTCCCTGCAGCCATATTATTGTATCCCTCGCTCTGTTCCATTACCCTAATACACTTTGTATGGCGTGATCTGCCTGTACTGCATGCAAAACAAAAAACTTTTCACTGTACTTACATACATGTGACAATGTCAAGTCAAAAATATCCATGTCATAAGAGTCACAAGACATCAGTCTGCACATACAGCAAAAAATTCACTTGGCCAATGGGATGTCATCTTTTTTTATAAGAGGAATTTAACATAAGAAAAGACAGCCAGGTTTCCGAAAGTAAACTAGTTCCACTTGCCAGTGCTTGGCCCATATCACTCTCAACCTTTCCTATCCAAATGTCTTTTAAATGTCGTAACTTGTTATGGACCAGACCAGACCCCTCAATATACTTTAAGAAAGAAGCCTAGAGCCTAACATTTATTTTTCTTTATTCATTAACGGGATGTGGACGTCGCTGGCTAGGGCAGCATTTATTGCCCATCCCTAATTGCCTAGAAGGCAGTTCAGAGTCAACCACATTGCTGCGGGTCTGGAGTCACACGTAGGCCAGACCAGGTGAGGATGGCAGTTTCCTTCCCTAAAGGATATTAGTGAACCAGATGGGTTTTTCCAACAATTGGCAATGGATTCACGGTCATCATTAGATTCTTAATTCCAGATATTTTTATTGAATTCAAATTCCACCATCTGCCGTGGCGGGATTTGAACCTGGGTCCCCAGAACATTATCTGGGTGTCTAGATTAACAGTCCAGCAATAATACCACTAGGCCATCACCTCCCCTGATATTTATTGCCTGGCCCTAGTTGCCCTTGAGAAGGTGGTGGTGGGCTGCCTTGTTGTGTTTCATGAAAAACGTAGAGCACCTAAAGAGAAATTACCTTTAAAATAAGTGCAAGGTGCAGTGTTCCAGATGTGATGCAACCAAACTACCCAACATTAAGCAAAACAATTTATTTATACACTACAGTTAAAATAACCTAACAATGGGAAAACTTAACTGAATATTAGATACAGTACCCATTACAATTAACATTCCAGTGTAGTCACATTTCCTAAACATATCCGTCGGCAAAAAGGCTAAGTCAGACAGATTTTCACATGCAGTTCTCCAATCCAGGAGGAAGAGAAGATTCAGAGAGCGTATCAGCCAGGAGACATTCATTGAAGCTTCCAACTCTTGAGAGCACAAAGACTTATGCTTAAAAATTAAACCTAAAAACTAAAAAAAAACTAGAAAGCCTGGGTCTGAGAGAGCTGGCAACTCCCAGGCTGCTCCCAACTTTCTAAAAAAAAAAAAACCCCAAGGCCTCACAAATTGTTTACTTTCTTAGAGACAGCTGGGCACCTCTGCATTACAACCTCTCCAAAACAAAACCAGGACAAAATAACCTCGAGTGATAGGACCGTCACAAATTGTACCCGCATCTACCACTTGCTCTAGCAGTTCATTCCACACATGAACTAGCGTCTGAGCGAAAAAGTTGCCCCTCAGGTCCCTTTTAAATATGACTCTTATGTTGCAGTGATACAGGATATTGGTGAGATTACATTTCATGTTTTGGTCTCCTTATTTAAGGAAGTGGTTCAGAGGAAGTTTGCAATATTGATTGCCAGAAACGAGTGCTTGGTTTGTGAGGAAAGGTTGCTCTGCCCAGGACTGTAAGAAATTACAGCCCAGTCCATCACACAAGCCAACCTTCCATCCACTGAGTTTACCTATACTTCCCGCTGCCTCAGGAAGGCAGCCAACATCAAAGACCCCTCCCACCCCAGTTATATTCTCTTCCAACCTCTTCCATTGGGCAGAAGATACAAAAGCTTCAACACATTTACCAGATTCAAGAACAGCTTCTTCTCTGCTGTTATTAGACTTCTGAATGGACCTTTCAAATTTAATGTTGATCTCACTCTCTACGTGCCTTCTCTGCAGCCATAACATGGAATTTCTCACTTTGTTCTATTACCCTAATGCACTTTATATGGTACGATCTGCCTGTGTTGCACGCAAAACAAAACTTTTCACTGTACCTAGATACATGTGACGATAATTATAACTCAAATCAGAGACTGGGCTTCTTTCTACAGGAGTTCAGAAGAGCGAGGGGTGATTTGTGTGAACGACGCAAGACCCTGAATGGTCTTGACAACGTGGAAAGGATGCTTCCTCTCGTGGGTCACTCCAGAACGAGCGGGTACCGTCTTAAAATTCAGGGTCACCCTTTCAGGACAGCTGAAGGGAATGTTCTTTTTCCTCAGAGGAATGAGAGATTTTGGAACTCCCTGCCTCAGAAACCAGTGTAGATTGGGTTCTTGAATATTTTTAAGGCAGAGGTGGATTAGATTCTTGGAGGCAGGGGGAAATCGAGACTTGTTCGAGGTAGATGGGAATGCATCTCTGTGGTAAAAAGTAGGCTATTCAGCCCATCCAGTAACCTACACCATTCAATGGGATAGTAGCTGATCGAATTATCCTCTACTCCACTTTCCATCCTTTTCCCCTCAACACCTCGATTCCCTTCCCGATTAAAAATTTCTCGATCTCAGCCTTAAACATACATAATGAACCACTCTCAACAGCCCTCTGCGGTAAAGAATTCCGCAAAATCAATCCCCTCAAAGAGAGGATATGTCTCCTCATCTGTCTTAGATACGTGACCCCTTCCCTCTGGTCCTAGACTCTTCCACAATGGGGAGAAAACCTCTCCACATCTCTTCTGTCAATTTCCCCCGAAGCATCTTGTATGTTTCAATCAGGTCGCCTTTCATTCTCCTAAACTCCAACAAGTACAAGCCCAATCTACTCAACCTCTCCTCATAAGACAGGTCCCTCCATAACCTTCTCTGAACTGTCTCCGCAAGACTTTTCTCTAGAATTCTGCGTTCGATTCAGTGATAATTGCATAATTACAGCTCCCTTGCTGTCGCTGCCTCCTGATTTCACTGGGAAATAAAACCACTCCTGCTCCTGCTCCCCCTCTCCCCTTCCACGCCTCTGAAATAGCAATGCAGGCCCTTACTGCGCAGGACATAAGCAAGCTGCCTGTCCAGAATATCAGGTGCTTTTCGGATGATCCGTTCCGTCACCAATGTCGCGCAAGACCCCACGGGCTCGGTGGTCACAGCAAGGCCAGGGGTGAGGGGACGCTCCAAGCGCCGGTGGTCAACCACCTCCGTCACCACGTCCTCCAGGGCCGAGTCACCTCTACGGGAAAGGAGAGTCGAACACAGTCAATGTACAACAAACAAGGGCAAGCTGCAAGTGTTAAAGCCTCACTCAGAAAACCTTTACAAGCTCCACAGAATCAGAGTTATATAGCACAGAAACAGATCCCTCTGCGCAGGATGACCGGATATCCTAAAAAAAAAATCTAGTCCTGTTTGCCAGCATTTGGCCCATATCCCTTTAAACCCTAGGTAAAAACCAAAAGAACTGCAGATGCTCTAAATCAGGAACAAAAACAAAAGTTGCTGGAAAAGCTCAGAAGGTCTGGCAGCATCTGTGAAGGAAAAAAAAATTTGTTCTGAGGAAGGGTCACCAGACCAGCAACTTTCTGTTTTTGTCCCTTTAAACCCTTCCTACTCATGTACCCATCCAGATGCCTTTTAAATGCTGTAATTGTACCAGCCTCCACCACTTCCTCTGGCAGCTCGTTCCATACACGCACCACCCTCTGCGTGAAAAAGTTGCCCCTCAAGACCCTTTTAAATTTCATTGTTTGTTTTCCTTGGACTGAACTCAGATTTCCAGAGCTGCTTGTCATTTCTCCATCAGTTCAGGTGTGAACGTTCACTGCTTGGAGAGGGGAGAGGGCGACAGCAGGATGGTGGGGGGAAAGAGAGAGGGCGATGATGGGGGGCAATGAGGGGAGACAGGGAGGGAAGGTGACGAGAGCGCGCGCACGACAGAGAGTGCGCGAGAGAGAAAACGTAGGTCGAGGAAGAGAGCAAAAGAGCGGGGGTTGAGGCTGGTCTATTGGGAGGAGTGGGAACGAGAAATTCCAGAACTTGGGTCATTTGGCAACTACCACTAGCAGAGAGTGCTGGAAGTCTGGGAACGCGAGAGAAGCCAGTATCGGATTAGAACTTGCCGTATATAACCCACCTCCCATCCCCTCTTCACCGTCACCAGCCTGAGCCTCCATACCTGGGCAGGACGTTATGGTCAACCAGGGTAAGGACCAGTCGTCCATCCCTGTGTAGGCCATGTAGATCGATCTCATCCCGGAACACCAGCAGGTCCTCAGAGAGGCAGTTCTCCCGTAGGAGGAACATACACTCGCCACGTAGAGGGAATTCGGAGCGTGGAATATTCAAGACAGGCACAAAGGCAGCCTTCTGGTCCAGGGCAGTCTGTAATGTGGAGGAATAAAACCAGAAGGAGCAGTTCAGGCTGTAACGATGGGTACAACAAAGACCAAACTCAAGTACCAACAAACGTAGGTTAAGAACTGGCAAATCACCCGAATTTCTCCAAGAGGTCATGCCAGGGCTAACATCCAACACCACTCATGTTGCTACCGCACCGCATTTTGTCCTGGAATTAAACTAAAGCCTGGTGGACAATAATTTCCCAATGCGTGTTCTTTGGCAACATCATGCTTTAACATACTAACTGACAAAGGCCTTTCTGTCACACACCGCTCCATCCCCTTAAACTTGGGCCTGGATTTTTCCCAGTCATTGTTTCCGTAGGAACCTGCAGAATCCCCAGCGTAGTGGACCCCAAAGGAATTGCCCAGGAAGTTGAGGATTGAACTGCTTATGGAGTCACATGGCACAGAAACGGACCCCTCAGTCCAACTAGTCCATGCTGACCATTACCCCAAACTAAACTAGTCCTACCTTGCCTGTGCTTGGCCCATGTCCCCCCAAACCTTTCCTATTCATGTACTTATCCAAATATCTTTTAAACGTTGTAACTGTACCCACATCCACCACTTCCTCTGGAAGTTCATTCCACACGAACCACTGTACGTAAGAAAAAAATGTTACCCTTTGTGTCTTTTTTAAAATCTTTCTCCTCTCACCTTAAAAATATGCCCCCTTGTCTTGGAATCCACCCCCATCCTAGGGAAAAGACACCTTCCATTCATGCCTCATGATTTTATAAACCTCTAAGGTCACTGCTCAACCTCCTGGACTCCAGTGAAAAAGGTCTCAGCCTATCCAGCCTCTCCTTGTAACTCAAACCCTCCATTCCTGGCAACATCCTGCTAAATCTTTTCTGAAGCCTCTCCAGCTTAATAATATCCTTCCTATAACAGGAATTGCACACAGTACTCCAGAAGAGGCCTCATTAATGTCCTGTACAACCTCAACATGACGTCCCAACTCCTATACTCAAAGGTCTGACCGACGAAGGCAAGCATATTGAACACCTTCTTAACCGCACTGTCTATATGTGATGCAAACTTCAAAGAATTATGTACCTGAACTCCTAGCTCTCTGTCCTACAATACTATGCAAGGCCCTACTTTCAATTGTATAATTCTTGCCCTTGTTTGTTTTACCAAAACACAACGTCTTGCATTTATCCAAATTAAACTCCATCTGCCACTCCTCAGTCCAATTGATCAAAATCCCTTTGCAATCTTGGATAACCATCTTGCTCCGTTCAAATCTGAGAATTGGGAGGACCTGAATGTGGGGTAAATAGAAGGACTGGTGTAGGTTTAGATTAATCTTTGTCTTGGTGCAGACAAGGCCTTTTCTGTACTGTAGAAGACTCAGGAAAAGTCTAACTCTTGAGCAACTGTAAAACTGACCTCTCCTCCCCAGCATACAGCACAGAAATCCAACGCACCCTCCCCACCAACAGGCTGGATCGGACACCCACCCCCTCCCTGCTGGGACAGAACAGCCACATTGGACCTAATCCCTCCTGCCTTTACTACCTGGACCCCTCACCCAACGCTGCCTCCCCACCAGCCGACCCACCCTAAACATGCTGTCACTTAACTGGTCTCGTGCTCTGGCACCCTACCTACTTTGCACCAACTCCTGGCACCTGACCAACATGGCAAACTAACTTCACACTTATTTCACGCACAGTGTTTGACACCAACTTGGTCAATGAGTACAGTTTTAAACAGGGTCTGAAGGGAGGTTTGAGATGGATGGACTTAAGAAGGGAATTCCCAAGCCTGGGGAAGTGGTGGAACGAAAGGAATTGGGAGATGCACATAAAACTGGAAAGGGAGGAATGCAGAGCTGTCGGGGCTTCAGGTGGTCACAGAAACTAGGAGAGATGCAGAGGCTAGCGGACGTTACAGCTATATGGAGTGTTGCTGGGCTGGAGGAGGTGACAGACATAGGGAGAGGTGTAGGGGACGGAGGAGATACATAGATAGGGACGTCTGTTGGGATTTTCACATTATTGCCTGCGATACTTACGAACCTTGCTCAGGAAGTAGGCAAACGCGATGGCGGAAACCATGGAATCCAGATCACAAGCTTCATTTCCAAGGACGACATGTATGCTGGGGGCTCCTCTCTGAAACAGAACAGCACTGTCAAAAACCCCCAAACAAAATATCAGCATCCCTTTTCTCAGGGATCGCCATGGCACTCTTACAGAAACCACCAGTGGCTGGAACCCCCGAGTGAGGGAGGACCCAGAGAAACACATTTCAGAGCCGTTTGCTGAATATCAGGTGGATGGTCTAGCCATTGGACGGGTAGCTCTGCTAGGTGCACCGAATCGGAGGTTGGTACAGTTGCACCTCAGTCCACAATTTAGGCCCGAGATGGCCAGTGGCAGTCCTGCTGGAGTGCTGCACTGTCAGAGGTAGAATATTTCAGATGAGATATGGAACCAAGACCGTGTCTGAGCTTTCAGGTGGTGGTGTCACTGGACAAGTGATCCACAACCTCTGGTTAATGCTCACAGCTTAAAATCCCACCCAAATGCGATAAAATCCTGGTCGAATGATTAGATAACCCTTCTGCTTCACCAATGCCCTTCCAGGAAGAAAATCCACCATCCTTACTTGGTCTGGCATACATGGGACTCCAGACCCACAGCAATGTGGCTGACTCCTTACTCCTGGGCATTTAGGGATGGGCAGTGAATGCTGGGCGTAGCTGGTAACATCCACCTCCCATAGAGTCATAGAGCACGGAAAAAGAGCCTTCGGTCCAACCAGTCCATGCCGGCCATAATCCCAAACTAAACTAGTGCCACCTGCCTGCTCCTAGACATATCCCTCCAAACGTTTCCTATTCATGTACTTATCCAAAGGTCTTTTAAATGTTAGAATTGTACCCGCATTCACCACTTCCTCAGGAAGTTCATTCCATACGTGAACCGCCCTGTGTAAACAAATTCACCACTCATGTCCTTTCTAAATCTCTCTCGTCTCGCCTTTAAAAAAAAAATGCCCTCAGTCTTGAAATCCCCCATCCTAAGGGAAAGACAACTACCATTAACTCCATCTATATCTCTCATTATTTTATAAACTTCTTTCAGGTTGCCACTCAACCTCCTAAGCTCTAGTGAAGAGGTCCCAGCCTGTCTTTAGAACTCAAACCTTCCACACCCGGCAACGTCCTGGTAAATCTTGTCTGAACTCTCACCGATTTAATAATACCGTTCCTGTAACTGGGCGATCGGAACTGGATACATTACTCCAGAAGATGACTCACCAACATCCTGTACAATCTCAACACAACGTCCCAACTCCCATGAACAAGTTAAGAAAAGAAAGCCTATTTTCTTCCCCCCCAGAACCTCAATTTCCCAAACAAACAACACACTGATAGATTATATCCTGCACTGAATATAGGATTAGTTTTCTAGGTGTGGTCACAGCAGTATTGTAGGGAACACAGCACGGCACTGTAGACTTGCCTTCAAAAAAGAAAAGTTCAGGGTCTAGGCTATGTCTTTGATACATCTGAAGGAGGTTTGATCTGGGCCATAACAAGATGATAAAGTGACAAAGACACTTCCCACCAGCTATAAGCTTTTTTTATACGAAATAGTCACTGCAAATAGAATATCGTCCTTCATTGCTAGAGGGATGGATTTTAAAAACAGGGAGGTTTTGTTGCAGCTGTATAGGGTGCTGGTGAGGCCACACCTGGAGTACTGTGTACAGTTTTGGTCTCCTTACTTGAGAAAGGATGGACTGGCACTAGGGAGTGTAAGAGGAGTTCAGATTCCAGATTTGAGGGTAGCCTTGTGAGGAGTGGACTGGGAATTTAGAAGAACAAGGGGAGGATCTTACAGAAACATATAAGGTTGTGAAGGGATTAAGCAGGGAGGTTGTTTCCACTGGAGGGTGAAAATAGAACTAGGGGACATAACCTCAAAATAAGGGAGAGCAGATTTAGGACTGAGTTGGGGAGGAGCTTCTTCACCCAAACGGGTGGGAATCTGTGGAATTCCCTGCCCAGCGAAGCAGTTGAGGCGACGTCATTAAATGTTTTTAAGGCAAAGATAGATTAGATTTTTGAACAGTGAAGGAATGAAGGGTTATGATGAGTGGGCGGGTAAGTGGAGCTCAGTCCATGAAAAAGATCGGCCGCAATCTTACTGAATGGTGGAGCAGGCTTGATGGGCCAGATGGCCTACTCCTGCTTCTTTTTCCTAGATTTAGAAGATAGTCTAGACCCTAACTTTTCCTTATTTTAAAGGTAAGTGTAAAGCATTGCTTTTCAGATGGAATTAGATTGGTCAAACTACTCAACTTTAAGCAAAACACTTTATTCAACACTGTAGTTAAAATACAAAAAAAAAGAAATTGGAATAACTTAATTCTATTGGAAAACTTAACACAATAGATTGTCTAACTACTGAACTGTAACTGTTCCAATATAGTAATATCCCATAAACACACCCTTTGCAAAGGCAAATTCAGTCCTCCTGGACTGGAGAGAAAAAAAAATTGAGAGAAAACTCAGTAGCAGAGAGAGAAGTACTGCAGCTTCCATACCCAGCTTCAAGATCCCAGCAACTGCTGCTGAGAAACTAAAACTAAAAATCCCTGGTTCGATGGGAGCTTGACCCCATTCATCCAGGCAGCTTTTATTGCTTCAACTTAAAAAAAAAACCCTAAACCCTACAAGCTGTTTAAAGGTTTTCAATGGACAGCTTGCTACCTCACTCTCTCAGAAAAAAACCAAGTCAAAATACACCCCTTAAAGGCACAGTGTCCTTACACAAGGAATGCCCACCAGTTCTACCTCAGAGATGTAACTCTATACTGAAGGGGCAGACCCTTCACCCAGAAACTAGGATCACTTATTGCCTAATATCTCCTCTTAGAAGAAAGAACTCAGTCTCATTTCTGCTTCCTTAGCGTTTTGCAGAGAGGTGGTCACAGGACATTGATTGACATTAAGCATTGGAGCATAGTTGGAGGGGAATCCAGCCACTAAGTGCTGCCAATCTGACAGATGAAGGATGCCTTGCCAACGTCATTGCTAGCCCTTTCAGACACGCCCACTACTACTCAGGGGTGTGCCTCAGTTCCCATTCCTGAACCGTTATTAGATCGCCACAGACTCCCCTCCCCGACCACAATCCCCACTCAAAACATGCCTGCCATCACCTGACCAACAGGGTTCCCACTTCTGTAATCGTGGGTTCAAATTCCATTCTTTGAACCTGATATTTATAGCTTGTTAAATAATGTATATTTATAGGGAGGCAATGGCCTAGTGTTACATTGCTGGACTCCTAATCCAGAAACCCAGTTCTGGACACCCGGGTTCAAATCCCGCCATGGCAGATGGTGGAATTTTGAATTCAATAAAAATCTGGAATTAAGAGTCTAATGATGAGCATAGAGTCATACAGTACAGAAATAGGCCTTTACAGTTCAACCAGTCCATACCGACCATAATCCCGAACTAAACTCGTCCCACCTGCCTGCGCTTGGCCCATATCTCTCCAAACGTTTCCTATCCATGTACTTATCCAAATGTCTTTTAAACGTTGTAACTGCACCCACACTCACTACTTCCTCTGGACGTTCTTTAAAAAAAGAGACTACCTCCTCACGTCTTTCTTCTAAATCTTTCTCCTCTCACCTTAAAAATATACTCATGTTGAAATCCCCCACTCTAGGGAAAAGCCACTTGCTATTCACCTTAACAATGCCCCTTATGATTTTCTGAACCTGTAAAAGGTCACCCCTCGACCTCCTACACTCCAGTGAAAATGTCCCAGCCTATCCATGCTCTCTTAACTACATAACTCAAACCCTCCATTCCCAGCAACATCCTGGTAAATCTCTTCTGAACCCTCAGTTTAAGAATATCCTTCCTATAACAAGGCAACCAGAAGTGGAATGCAATACTTCAGAAGTGGCCTCACCAACGTCCTGTACAACCTCAACATGATGTCCCAAGTCCTATACCCAAAGGACTGGTGAAGGCAAGCGTGGTAAACACCTTCTTAACCACCCTGTCTATACTTGACGCAAACTTCAAAAGATCCACTGTTGGAAAAACCCATCTGGTTCACTAACGTCCTTAAGGAAGCAAAGCTGCCATTCTTATCTGGTCTGGCCTACCAAACCCACAGCAACATGGTCGGCTCTTAACTGCCCTCTGGGCAATTAGGGATGGGCAATAAATGCTGGCCTAGCCAGCAACGCCCTCATCCTGTGAATGTATTAAAATAGAGAGTAGCTCAGTACCAAGAGGAAGAGTGGAGCACTGCCACCTTTCAGGTTGAGACATTACACCGAGAGAAATGCGCTATCCGCCAAAAACATCCCATCGCTGACGTGAGGGGAGACTAGAGGTTGGCCTTGTTCCTCCCACCCCGTGTCAATATCGATCACAAAAACAATGCCGCAGAAAAAGGGCACTCTAGCTGACCACCAGCCGCATGTGATCTTCGTGCGTGCAAACCGGGTTGCCCCGTTTCCCACCCATTCGCCATCGAGCTCCGAGGTGGCGGAAACGCAGGTGCTGTCTCCTCACCGAGAGCGCCAACCGGGTGGCCTTTAGCAAACTTGAGGCTCAAGGCGCGGCAACACCCAATCCTGCCATCCTTAATCCCGACTGCAAAGGCCAAATGGCCTCCCACCGTCCCGAGTCAGGCAGAGAATCGCAGAACCGGAGATGGCCGTCTGGCCCATTGTGTTGGGACCCGTCCCCTTCCGCATGAGTAACTCAGCTAGTTCCCACTCCTCTGCCACTTGCCTGTAAAATCGCCCACCTCCGAGGGAATCATTCAATACAACAGCACAAATCAAAGAGATTTGGGCGAATCAGGCCCAGGACAAAGGGTTTCAAAAATTTTTTAAAAAGACGAATAAGATACATCGCTGTTTTGCTCCCTTAGCAAGTCTCCTTGCTCAGTCGGGGACTGTCTCGAAAGGGTTACAGAGTTCCGCAACTCGGGTTGGCTGGATTAACACAACACAGCTTCCTGCTGAACCATCCCTGGGTTAACATTTATCACTCGCTTCTGACTCAAAGCCCCCTCCGCTAGGGCCAGGCTGCCCTTTCCAGCCGTACAGGACCACAAAACATAAC